CCCACCAGCCCCGCCCCCAGGAACCCCCTTTGGGGTTTTGGACGAATGTGGTTTTCCAATGCATCTTTAGCTATTAGATGAACTGCAACCGCATCTGGATAGCAGAGAATAAAGGTTTGAATGGCCTCAGTGTGAAGTGACACCATTTGAACCACTTCCTGACAGACTGGAGGTGGTCTGGACTCCGTCTGTTCATGTTTGGTAGTTTGAACACAGATCGTCTGGGTCTTAATGTAGAGCTGACATGACTACACACAAGCAGAAACGTTGTTACCTAGATGTCTCAAAGAGTTTTATTAATTTATGTATTTGTTTTGACTAAAGGTTTTAATGACTGTTTATCAGAGTTCTTCGCAATAAAAAAGTTTGTTTTTTCCAGGGTTGTAATAATCAGTGGATTACCAGGATGGCCAGTTTCTCTTTAGGCAAAACATTGTTCTGATTGTTTTAGGGCTGGTTTGGACCTGCTGTGGTCACTACAAGCTTTAATTTTGTGTGTCAATAACAGAACAGACTTAGAAGTGTTGTGTCACATTATATTTACCTAATTACACAATGCTGGTGTCATGTTTACAGTGGAGCTCTGTAGGAACCAGATAACAGCTACATCATATTTTGGAGTTTCATGGGACTGCTTTGACACAGAGTTAATTAAGATTATCAAGCAATAACTCAAAGAAGGTATGACTCGAGTGGCTCAGAATTGTGGTAATGTCAAAATGATAATATACAAACATGGATAAATTTGTCAGTGCCCTTACATTATAATAAAAAACAGACAACAATAGATGTGACCAAAGCCAAAAAGCTCCAGTTTTGTCTCATCAGGTTCATCAACATGCGTTTTGGTCAATTCCGGTTATTTTGCTGTCCTGTCAATTTGACCCACAAGGCCTCTATTTCTTCCATTTGGCCCACTATAAATCCAAATTTGACAAATGGTGCAATCAGAAAGTGATGCTCTCTTATTTGGTGTTCTGCTTGAATGATTTTGGATCATTTCTTTGGCTCCTTTTCTACCATCCACACTTTTCATCTAATCAAATTGGACTTGGACTTCCTCATGCATCCATAACTTCAGAGGTTGGCTATGGTCCCATGAACCTTATACTTTTTAAAATATTGGCAGCTGTACTCACTGGAACACACAAGTGATTGAAAATGGTCTTATCGTGGATATCTCTAAGTGTTTTATCTGCTTCTCAGACTGCTCTCACCTTTGCTCTCTGATCTTTTTGTTCAATGTGGTGAACACAACCAGGCCAAACTACCCCGCAGCTGTTTGCTCACTTTAAACAGGCTGAATGCATGACATTAACCACCAAGTGTGAACACTCTCATCATGGCTGAATTCTTGTGGGTGAATCACCTATAACAGATTTTTGATGACAGTTATTAACAGGCTCTAATGTAAGTTTACATTCTGTTGGAGTTCAGTGTGTTTTGATTGTAAAATGTTTCATTCTGGTGGCGGGAGTTTCAGAGAAACAGACGTTTATTCTCTAAACATGACGTCCCAGTGGCTTTCAAACCCTGGTTCACCCTAAAGATCCAGTTCCCCGGCAAAAACAGAGTAATATAGTGTATGCTTGTAAGAAAATTCATGTTCAATAAAGTGAAGTTGATATTAAAACCACCATTGTTAAATAAAATGATTTGTAGAATGAATCAAACCATACAACACCAGAATTCTGGATCTGAGTGGGGTTTATTGTCACTTGAGAGGAAACAGGAAACCACACTGGCGAAAAACCAGGAACTTCATCAATTTATACATGTTCTTCAATGCCTGCGTTCGCCCCCTACTGACCTACGGCTGAATCACAGGCATTCAGACAAAATTCTCATCTAATGTCCTCGCCACATTTGATTATGGCGAGTTATAATTCGGACATGTAACTAATCTATGTTAATCAAAACATAATAGAAAATAATAATAGAAAAATAATAGAAATAATAGAAAACCTAAAAATATAGTGTTGTGCTTTTAACATCAGTACTGACCTCTAATAACTATAAATTTCTTCATGCTGTTAAGTGTCAGGAGGACTGTGATCAGTCATACAT